CGCCACGCCACGCGCAAGCGCGTGATAAGCAGTCAATGTGTTAAGGCATTTCAGTTAATGTAGCGGACTGCGCTGCTACCTAATCTTTTAAGTTTGATCCAGCTTATTATTTTTTGCAGACTGCTATTATTACGGCAATTTTATAAAAACTAAGCTTGAACTTTTGATTATGTCAAAAAGAGTTTACAATTCTGAGGCTGCCAAAGGATCTACAAAGTGAAATCATGTTTCGATATTCATTAAACAAAAAGTGAAACTGCTGCAAAAAATGGATAAAGGCATATCTGTTTCAAAACTATGTGAGGAGTATGGCATTTGAAAGTCAACTGTATATGACATAAAAAAAAAAAAAGAAAAGGGAGCTTTTTGAATTTTTTGTGGAATCAACTTAGACAGCTTACATTGAAAGCAATGTTTAATAAAGTAAACTAATAAATATTAAGGTTTTTTTGGTAAATTCTGATACCCTTTAGATCATAATTGTTCTTTATATTTCATAAATTAAGATTTCATATTTTTACTTGTATAATTTCTGCATGCCATCTTACCAGATTAAATTGATGATATAATATCCGAAAAAATCACAAATCCGGAATCACCAAAGTCCCAACGAGTCCGAATTTTTTACTTTGTACTGTATATGATTCTATAAGACATTATTGTCAGACATGCAATACAGTGCATAGCTGCAGCTTTGAACACCATCTGTAATCTTACTTCATTTCACACAACTAGTCAGTAATTAAAAAGCATTCTGTTCTCTCTCATTTATTGTCTTCTCTGCATACTGACACATAAAGGTAGTATTTCGGATCCTGCATTATTATGATTCTGATTTGTCTTCGTGCAGCCTACCCTTCCCAAATTTTTATACATGCTTACCTCACCCTGTAGAGTTAAAGAATTTCAAAAACATGGAGACTTTATGAAATGGGGTACAATAGCATTTCTCTTAAAAATGCTGAATAATTAATAGTTTTACATCATAATTTTATTAATTCTGAAAGCGAAAAAAAAAAAAAAAAAAAAAAAACAGTTCCTAGTAAAAGACTTGAAACATTTTGTTAAGCTGTAAAATTGATAAATTTGGCTTGAAGGGCCAAAAACTGTTTTGTTTTTAATTTCAAAATATTTTGTTGCGATTATTTAAAGTTATACAATTTAAATAAAAACTCTGAAATTAAAGAAAAATTAGCTAATCTTTGGAATATGGTAAGGGGTAGTTTGGCGACATTTTGGTAAAGCGATAAAGGTTACTAGCTAGGACTTTAGCAATAATCTGAGAAGTACACAGTTCGAATCGCAGATTATTTTGTCACAGAGAAATGAGAGATCATAAAACATGTAATGTGAAATTTTCCGGAAAATTCCAATCATGATTTTAGTTAATAAGCGCTTAGAAACAATTCCGCTGCTAAAGTGCAGAATCACAAATTTATTTGTTTGGCGCTTTTCACAAGAGTAAGAAGAATTGGATTTTTGTCAATTTTCTTTGACTTTTTAAGTGAAAATAGGTCTGTGTACATGGATAAAGTCAAGAGTGTGCGCAATGCCATTTTTGTGCAATTCTGGGAGTTTTTTTTAAGTGAAAATAGGTTGACATGTACATGGATACCGTACATGTGCAATTCTTAAAAACGCGGCAAGCTGTGGGCGATTCTGCACTTTCTCCCAATTTCATACCTAATCTTCATCATGATTAAGCACTTTTGTTCCATAAAAGTTCTAGCATAAGCCTAATTCGACTAGCAGATTGTTGGAAAAAATGTGGAGTAAAAAAAAAAAAAAAATGCCTTTACTTTGTGAAAACAAAATGACATCCAAAAAAAAAAAAAAAAAACTAGCAGGATGCTGTAGCAGGGTTGGTCGCCAAATTACTGTAATCGGAAGATTCACCAAAAAATCAAGAGGAATTTTCTCTTTTTAGCAAGAATTTATTTTACATTGAAATTTTTACTATTTCGTATAAATTAAAGGCTGATCTTTGGAATATGGTAACAGGTAGTTTGGCGACATTTTGGAGGCGATAAAGGTTACTACCTAGGACTTTGGTAATAACGTGAGAAGTACTCAGTTCCGATTACGCATTATTTTGTGTGAGGGAAATGAGAGATCATGAGATATGTCATGTGACATTAATGAACAAATTACAGTTCTTTAATCGGAAAAGGGGGTAAATTTTGAAAAATATCTGTACAGTCAAAAGTCGTTAATCCGGGACTAGTAGTTTGAGGTATAGGCGATTCCGGATTATAGATCATCAGTTTAAATCTCGTAAGATGGCATGCAGAAATTCTAAAATTAAAAATATGAAACTGTAATTTATGAAATAAAGAACAATTATAATCTAAAGGGTATCAAAATTTACAAAAAAAAAAGCTTAATATTTATTTGTTTACTTTATTAAACATTTCTTTCAATGTAATTTGTTAAGTTGCTTCGTTTTATGTGATAATACTTTCTCTTTAATTCTACAAACAGACATAATTTCTTGTTCAGTTACAAAGTTTCGCTGTTCAAGTCCCGTTAATTGCTGTGCCGAGAATACCGACTAACTTGTCAATCGAAATTTTTTCGTTTTCAATAACCTCTCTGTCACATTCTTCATGTCTTTATCCACTTTTTGCAGCAATTCCACTTTTTGTTCGATAGACATCTAAACATACTTTCGTTTTGTACGATCCTTTGGGAGCTCCACAATCGGAAATTCTGTTTGACATAATCGAAAGTTCAAGTTTACTTTTATAGTATTGCTCTTACAGTCTGCAAAAAATAATAAGCCAGATCCAATTCGAAAATTAAGGAACAACACAATCATCAACATTAACTGAAATAGATAATTAGATAATTTCAGCTTATACCGTCCATTATACATAAAACGTGCACGCGAAAACGTATTCTGCGCTTGCGCACACGCAAATGCGCAGTCGTAAGAGGTCTTTATGCGCACGCATAATGGCCTATATGCATGTGTCAACGCGGCGCATGCGCAGAAAGGTTTTAGCTTTGAGGTCCGGATTATGGGTGTCCGAATTAACGACTTTTGACTGTAGTACTATATTATTTGTATTAAGCTTCATTGTGTGAAATAGTGTTGATTAATTTTCGGATTGCATGGCACTATCTAAAGTGAATTCGGTACTTTTCCGTTTCGCCAGCGCAAATCTCGCCAAGCAGACTTTATTGGCGACAACATACAGTATACACATAAAAAATATTTAAAAAAATGTTAGTTCTAAGATTTTTTTATTTTGAAGGCATAAACATTTTAATATTGCTTAAAATTTTATAAAAAGCCAATAAATTTGTAAAAAGACCCCCAAGCAATCTCATCTCACGTAAACTACTCTACAGAAATCTAATGCTGTCAGTAGTTATCTAGGCTGATCTTTGGAATATGGTAACTGGTAGTTTGGTGACATTTTGGAGGCGATAAAGGATACTACCTACGACTTTGGTAATAACGTGAGAAGCACTCAGTTCCGATTACGCATTATTTTGTGTGAGGGAAATGAGAGATCATAAGATATGTCATGTGACATTAATGGACAAATTACAGTTGTTTAATCAGCAAAGGGGGGGAGGAAATCTGGAAATTTCGTATTTAGCTATATTCTGTGTTGTGTGAAACGTGACATTAATGGACGAATTATAGTTCTTTAATCGGAAAAGGGGGTTAATTTGGAAAAGCTTCATTGTGTGTTGTGTGAAATAGTGTTGATTAATTTTCAGATTGCATGGCACTATATAAAGAGAATTCTAAATGTTTAATGCGTTTATCTGATAATAATAATAAGTTGAGATTGTGTGAAAGGAAGGATATTACAAGTTTAAATGGTGGTGCAAGAAATATGGTGAAAATAAACATTTTGTGAAAAGGAGTGTAAGGAAGGGTACGTGGTTTGCTGAAAGTAGTTTGAGGTACAGGTGAAATTTTATTAATTTCTTATTTACTTGATGAATAGACTTCCAGTTGACTACTGGATTTAGGATTTAGAAATTAGCAGTAGTACTGCAGCGACATAATGAAGATTCTGAAGAAGATTAGGTAAGTTAGTATTTTTAATCATTTGAGGATATTATTTTTATGCATTGTTCTAAACGTAAGGAGTAAATAAATTAAAATGGTATTATTTGAAAATTGTTATTAGCAATGATTTAGTTTAAAGTAATTAGGATTGTAATCTAATTTTTATTAATTTAATGTATGTGCTTATTTAAAGTAGTGTTTTTTTAACTTAATTATATTTTAATTTAATGATCGTGATTTTGTGAGTTATATGTTTGTAGTATTTTGGAATATGTTTGAGTAGTATACGTTGAGTAGTTTCATGCATTTTCGTGAAATTTTTCTAATTTATGAGAAAAAAGCAGTGTACATGGATATAGTGAAGAGTGTGCGTAATGCCATTTTGGGCAATTCTGGGATGTTTTTTTAAGTAAAAATAAGTTGATGTGTAAATGGTTTATGTGTATGTGCTATTCTGAAAAACGCGCAAGGAGTTTGCAATTGTGCACTTTTTCCCAATTTTGCAGTTAATATTTGTCATGATTAAGCAGTTTTGTTATGTAAAATTTCTAGCATAAGTGTAATTCGGCTAATAGATTGTTGTAAAAAGTGTTGAGTAAATAAAAAGAAAATAAACATCTTTACTTCGTGAAGACAAAATGGCGGCGAAAAAAAAAATAGAGGGTTGCTATAGCAGAGTTGGTCGCCAAATTTTCGCCAAAAAATCGCCAAGTTACCATAATCCAAAGATCAACCAAAAATGGTTAAAGTATGTGGTAGTAGATGTAAATACTTCTTTAGAACCATTCCTTAAAATTTGCATTGTATAAACGTCGTTTACATGTTGTATAATATGATAAATATATATGTTAAAAATCATTCGTAACACACACCTGTTCTAATTATTAAATAACTATCAATAATCAAATTTGATTATGCACATTTATAATCAGTATATCAAATTTAATAAATGAACGAAGCAATAAATTACCTGGTAAATTATTTATTACTTTTAATTGATCATCAGGAATTTTCAAAAGTTGACGCACATTATTAGAATCCCAAGTAGACTGTTCACCCAATGAATGAACACTTGACGAAAACATCCTGGAAAATCTTAAAAGAAATAAAGGTTTATACTTTTTGAAGGAAATAAAGCTATTAAAATTCAGGGTAAAAGCGCAAATTCAGTTCCAAGCCTTTCCAAGGAAATTTTTAAAAATGCATAAAATTAAACAGAATCAGAAAGCCGAAAATGTACCAACATCATAATTACGCATCAAGCAAAAATTAACGCATTAAAGAGAAATATAATTAAAATTTCTAAATCTAAACTTAAAATTTAACTTATCACTTGAATTAAACTACCTGTAAGTAACAAAATTCGCAATAAGCAGAGAATAATATAAATTAATATATGGCTTACCAAGAATACGCGCCAAAAAAGATAAAAATACGGAAACTCTTCGCAGGAAGATCTTAGTCAGACAGACAGACAAACAAAGTAGACAGATGTCTTTTGTTGCACCCGCTAAGTCTTTCTGCACCGATGGGCGAAAAATCAAGCATAGGTGCGAAGGAAAGGTATATAGAAAGGGGGGCAATTTCGTATTTCAGAGGAGATAAGGCTCCTCTAAACCAGGCTGAATCACCAACTTTTCTCTCTTGGCGAGGGAGTGAACGCGCTGCCAATTTTTGCGCGTTTATCGCACACGCTGGCTGAATGTCTGCTGTTTTTTTAAAGATTTATTTTATAGACGCGCGGCATTCAGCGCATATAAACTTTTCGGATAATTTATTAATTCTCGAATAGTATATAGACGTTTTCACCTAAATTAAAATTTCGCGTATATTTTGTAAAACATATTCAAAATAACTTATTCTTTAGATGTTTCAGTTTTCGTTAGCAGAGTAATAATAAATAAGATATGAATAAAAACTTTCAATAGTGTCAAATGGGGGAAATAGTTAAAGCGTAGAGTGTGCAAATAACTTTTTATCTTAATGACATTTTAACAAAAATTTCCCATAAAAACACTGTAAATTCATACTAAAAAAATAACTTAGGGCATGTTGTTAATATGTTGAGGTAAAACATTTAAGTCTGAGGTATATGGAAATAATTGTGCGAAAGATTCTGAAGAAACACTTTCTTTTAAATGTGTGAAATATTTCATAACATATATGGAAGAAGAAAGTACAGCATTCTGTGTTTTGGATGCTTTTCATCAAATGTAATATAAATACGAACTAGAAACCGTAATAAAAAGTCCTTCCTCTTCAATCAGATCACCTTTGTGTTGCATTGTATTTGTAATATTTCTAAAAATCCAATTTTTACCTAAATTAAAAAACAGTTATTCCATAAAAGATAATAACTTTGAACGTATATAGAATGAATTTTGTAATTTGAGTTATGTTACAAAATAATTCATAGTTTATATATTTTATAATTTAGATAAAACCTGTCCAATTTAAGAATGTGTGTTAATCACATTCTTAAATTGTAAAAGGACGACTTAACCACATGTAATTCATTTCAAAGCATAAAAGAAAGCTTATTTTTTATTTTACACAGCAACAGCATTTTCATGCAGTCAAGTTTTTTTTAACTGCTAGTTATTATACATAATACTTAATTTTAAACCCATTCTTATTAGAAAGCATAACTAAGAAACTTTTTTTTAAAGCACCACAGTGATTGCAAAGAATGTCGTTAAATTTACAAAAGTATTGAAAATATATTGAACAGCATTATAACAAGAAAGTACTGTACAAAATATGTAAATTTAGCATAACTTCTTTTTTAGTATTTGCATAGTTTCCTCCAAATGAACCTTAATGGGAAGTTATCTTGCGAAAATTTAAAAGTATTAAAATGGCCTCTATTTAAGATGTAACTGCATTTATAATTATTTTGTAATTGTGAATAGATTATATTATTGCAATTAGATTATGCACTTACAATATAATTGCATAAAGTAATGAAATTAAGAGTTCACAGATACAATGTAATATAATTACAATGCAATTACCTAAATTGTAATTATAATCACTTATTTAATACCACAATATTATTACAATCACAATGTAATTTAAATTGGGTACTATATTTGCATACCCTCCACTCAAAAGGAGGTACTGATAAGCCTGGAAGTTATTATCAACAAAAAGCCTGTTCAGGACAGTTTGATGACAATTTCCACCGGGCGAAAAAGTACATTCTTAAGCCCAGGCAAATCATGACAAAAAAAATCATTTAGTCTTATGATTGACTATATTTTTAAACCCTAAATCTGAATTCTGCACCAAATTATTTACCTATATTTTAACATACTTTATGAATTATTAGAAGCGATATGGCAAATATCTTCTAAAAATAACTGTAAAATATCTGTATCCATTAATTGATTCAGATACACACACTTTTATTATTTAAGTATATCAAAATAACAGTTTCATGTTCCTGAAATACAAAAATTATGGAAAAAGTTTAAAGTAATATTCTTAGAAGCATATGATATTAGTCACCAGATGCAAAATTATAGTTAATTTTTTTGTCCTAAATACAATTTTATTACACAGTAGTCAAATGTGTAACTTAATAACATGTTATATAAAAAATTAATGATAATAAGTTGTTTATCAGAAATGAATTAATTCTGCAAATAACTTTTTGCACTTGAAAATTACTTGAAATTTTCTACACCTGAGGGGAGTAAGAGAGATTTCTAGTAAAATTAGATTTTATTATAACTTCAGTTGGACCAAACACCTTCTCTCTATATATATATGCATCACTAAAGAAATAAATAAAATTATCATGCTTTAAAAACAGATATACCATACCAGTTTTTTTTTTTCCCCTTATTACCCTTTACATTGAGAAATAACAAACAGTACAACACTGAAAAATACTATCCTTGAAATTTTTTTGTTTAAATGAAGAAACACACACCATCTTTTTTTATTTAAGCATTACACTTCAAAAACAGATACACATACCAATTTATTTTCACTAGCCTTTATACTGATAACATGCCATATAAAAATGAAAAGAATTATCCTTGAAATTTAAATTGAAGTAACGCAATGGGAAAATTTATGCACACGGACATCTTTTTTCTATTGCATGTTGTCTGACATGATCCACAAGTGCCTAAAAATGTACCCAAAGAAACGCATTTCAATATTAACAAAAAATTGTTTACAGATTAAAATTCATTCATTTCATACCAGTATTATTAAGATCATGCATGAAACAAATCTGCTTTCCCATACTTTTAAGTAAAACTTTATACTGGAAAATAGACTATATTTCTATATATTAGAAACAAGAAAATACTAATTTGAATGTTCTGCATTCATTTCTAAATCTTTACTCCATTGCCAAATTGTATAATACTGTGATTATAAATAAACTTGCACAATCCTTGCAATTATTGAAGTCAGATTATATATATATTGTCTCACACTATTCAATTTATTCTATTGACTTCAGATGTCAATGTCAAAATTCTGGAAGTTATTTTAACCAAGAAACAGTAGTGGGCACCGTGCATAAACAACTCATCTAACTTTTTAACAATAGTGATTATAAAATAAAGAAAAAATTATATATCATTCCAACGATATTCCAACTATAGTATAATGTTACATATATCTTTAGCAAACATTCAGATTTTATCTTGACTTTCCAAATTATTATTTATTTTTTAATAAATTTCAATATGCTAATGATTTTCATGTTACATTAGTATAAATTCCACAATTAGCACAGGAAAACAAAATCCGCGCTTTATATTAGAAGAGAAATTTCTTTCTTTTCCCAATTCAAAACATCTACATTGGCGATGTTTGGCGACGGGTACATTAACCCTAGACTAATTTAATTATAGCTATTATTACAGAAATTAGCAGATACTCAGGTTATTGTACACAAGAATTTCACTTTACTTGCACATTATAAACATCAGAGAAGATATAAACTCTAAATGAAGGCGTAATTAACATTATACTTACTAAGCAAAGTTCAGCGCCTGGACCAGGTTTCCAATTGTCTCCTTTCTTTCGCATAATTTTTAGGAAATTTTTACCAATGTATGACCTTTCCGTGAATGATTTGAACAAGTAATAGCTGTACATCCGCCCATTTTACACAAAAAAACACAAAAAATTGTTGCACCGTAACTACAGAGCCGCCATTAAATCTCCCACTTGGGAGCGCGAATGCCTGATGATTCAGCCTGGTATATAGGAAGGAGCCTTAAGAGGAGAGTAAAAAGGAACTTCGCATATTTTATACGAGTTCGAAAGGGCAGGAAGAAAAGATGGGACAAAATAAAGTAAAAAATAAATGGCCCAAAAGTAATGGAGAGGAAAAAAAATGTATTTATAATTAAAAAAAAAGGGCCTATAGAAAGAAAAGGAAAGGAAATAAGAGAATTTTGTTAAAAAAAAAAAAAAAAAAAAAAAAAAAAAAAAAACACGATTGTGTTCATGAGTGTAGTCAAAGTTGTTATCATTTACATTAAATACAGTCTTCCAGGTGTGTGTAATGAGTGTGTTTTGTAAAGCTGAATAGAGGTAAAGATGGGGAAAATTAATAATAAAATAATAAATTTTGGGGGTCCAGTCACATAACAGTATAAGTCAAGTTTAGAAGCTAACTTTTGCTATAACAGGGAAACTAAAATTTAAAATTTTTTAAATTTAAACTTTTATTTTTTTACATGGAAACCAATATTAGCCTCTACCTTGAGACACAGTAACAGAAGACACATAAGATCAAGATACATATAATATCATGCAAAGTTATACATTAAACTAAGTAACATCATCTATTGCGGTTTCCAACATATTTATATATTCAGAAAACACCATCAGATAAAATCATAAATCCAAAACAAGGCGAGAACATATCAGCAAAAATAAATCAGTAAATAAATTACGGAGTTTTTTATTATTATTATTAATTAATTTTTTAAAAAAAATAAGCATTTCATTTATTTATTAAGTTAATGGTCATAATTTATTATATGTGTACTATTTTATCAATTTGAGGCACACTGTATTAATTTAAATAGACAGGAAATATAGATTAAAGGAGCAAAAACTACAACTCTGTACATTCATTGAGGCCCGAGATCGTGTTTTTAGCTTTCGAGACATTCCTCAAAGGGGCCCCAATGGGTAGGGCTAACACTACTGATAAGGGCTACTGATAAGGATAGCGTTCCTACGAGATGGTAACCAAAAAAGAACCACATGATTTAAAGCAATTACTAAGTATTTAATGCCAAAACATAATAAAATGAGCATAATAATAATAATGATCATAATAAATGAATGAATTTAAAGGTACTTTAGTGACAGATATTTGATTTAGCTTCGAGAAAAGAAGTTCTACTTATCTGAGCGCTCCGTCTTAGTGCTGCAAAAGATTGCAAGGAAGACAAGACCCCCCAGGTACAGGAGAACTCCCAGCT